CCAAGGCTTGCCCTTCTTAAGAGGCACAGCACTGACTGCAGACTGAGAGTGATGTCACGGCCTCAGGTTCAAAACTGAGAACTGGGCCAGGCATGCTAGCTCACGCCTGTAATCCCAGCATTTTGGGAAGCCGAGGCGGGCGGGTCACAAGGTCAGGAGATCGAGACTATCCTGGCTAACATGGTGAAACACCGTCTCTACTAAAATACAAAAACCTAGCCAGGCGTGGTGGCAGGCACCTGTAGTCCCAGCTAGTCGGGAAGCTGAGGCACGAGAATGGCGTGAACCCAGGAGGCGGAGCTTGCAGTGAGCCGAGATAGCGCCACTGCACTCCAGCCTGGGCGACAGAACAAGATTGTCTCAAAAAAACAAAAAAAAAACAAAAAAAACCCCAAAAAACTGAGAACTGGGTCAGGAATGGCAGTTCTTGCCTGTAATCCCAACACTGAGGGGCTGAGGAGGGAGGATAGCTTGAGCCCAGGTTCAAGACCAGCCTGGACAACACAGTGAGACCCCATTTCTATAAAATAAAAAAATTTGAGAACCAATGTTCTACACCATTGGGTGTACCTAATTTTCTACCCATCTCCACACACCTAGGCACTTCAGGGCCAAGGCCTGAGGGACACCTCAAAGTGCCTGACGGATCCCAGCAATGACAAAACTAATCCTCAGTCCCACCAATTACAGGACTGAGGTTTTTTGTGATTTTTTTTGAGACGGAGTCTCGTTCTGTCGCCCAGGCTGGAGTGCAGTGGCGCGATCTGGGCTCACTGCAATCTCTGCTGCCTCCTGGGTTCACGCCATTCTCCTGCCTCAGCCTCCCGAGAAGCTGGGACTACAGGCGTCCACCACCACACCCGGCTAATTTTTTTGTACTTTTAGTAGAGACGGGGTTTCATCGTGTTCGCCAGGATGGAGGACTGAGGTTTTTACTCTAATTTTACAGATGACAAATCCAGAGTCAGGGGCATAGGACAGGGACCAATGCAGGTGGGAAGAATCTAGGACAGAGGACCCCACAGGTGGCACAGAATGGAGTGCTGAGTAGAGTCCCTAAGGGAGATGCCCACTCTTTAGCTACCTCCCTGGACAGACCAGCCATGAGGACACCAGTTGCTGCTCCAGTCAACGAAAGGGACACTTTATTGAGGCTCCAGGGCCACGGGGCCTGGGCAGGAGGTTGCCCTTCAAGGAAAGAAGAGCCTTATTTGACCTTCTTCTTGGGGCGCAGGTTGTTGGTGTGGCCACACTTCTTCTTGCGGCAGTTGACAGCACGAGGGTGAAGGCGAGCATAGCACCTGCAGAGAGACAGGAGGGGCGGATGAGGGCATACCCCGACTCTGGCAGCCCCCACAGCCTCCCAAGCATCGGAGCACACATACTTGCGGCAGATCATCTTGTCGCAGTTGTATTTCTGGGCAAGCTGGCGGAGGGAAGGCTCAATAATGCCACCTCGCAGGCGCAACACCAGGTGCAGGGTGGACTCTGCAGGAGACAGCCAGAAGGACGGCGACTGAGCCCAGCCCTAGCTCCTCAGTCAGAGGGGCAGGGCCCTCCAGGGCCTATAGTCTGGTGCTTTCTCAAATGTGATGGGGACACCAAGTCGGGATCCCCCGAGTGTTCTTTTCTCAAGTGTGATGGGGACACCAAGTCGGGATCCCCCGAGTGTTCTATGTGTGGAAGATACACTGTCCCAGCCAGGCCTGCCCCAGGAAATCTCCATCTCAGCACTGACCACGAGCCCTGGGGGAGTCTGATGAGACACACATGCCAACTGAGGTATCCATCTGGGTTTCTAATATGGAAGCCGACTTCTAAGTGGTTCAGGCAAGGTCAGACACGAAGTCTAGGCTGGGTGCAGTGGCTCGCGCGTGTAATCCCAGCACTTTAAGAGACCAGCCTGGCCAACATAGTGAAACCCTGTCTCTACTAAAAATACAAAAAAAATTAGCCGGGCGTGGTGGGGGGCACCTGCAATCCCAGCTGCTTGGGAGGCTGAGGCAGAGGAATTGTTTGAACCCGGCAGGCGAAGGTTGCAGTGAGCAGAGATCACGCCACTGCACTCCAGCCTGGGTGACAGAGTGAGACTGTCTCACAAAAAAAGGACACTGAATTCTTGTCACTCCAACAAGTGACACTAATTTCCTTATTGCAATGATAAAAAAATTCACATTATGACTCTTTTTTTTTTTTTGGCCTCCTAAGTTCAAGCAATTTTCCTGCCTCAGCCTTCTGAGTAGCTGGGACTACAGGCATGCACCACCATGCCTAGCTAATTTTCGTATTTTTAGTAGAGATGGAATTTCACCATGTTGGCCAGAATGATCTATATCTCTTGACCTTGTGATCTGCCTGCCTTGGCCTCCCAAAGTGCTGGGATTACAGGCCTGAGCCACTGCACCCAGCTAATTTTTGTATTTCTAATAGAAACGGGATTTCACCACGTTGGCCAGGCTGGTCTGGAACTCCTGACCTCAGGTGATCCACCCGCCTCACCCTCCCAAAGTGCCGAGATTACAGGCGTGAGCCACTGTGCCCAGTCCCATTATTTTAAACAAAACACAAGTCATTTGAACTGCTCCCCAACCCCTGACTGAAGCCGTCAATGCTCTTTTCCTAGGACCTGGGGATCTTGGGTCCCTGCCCAGCAACCCCAACCCTAGTACCTTTCTGGATGTTGTAGTCTGAGAGAGTGCGGCCATCTTCCAGCTGTTTGCCGGCAAATATCAGACGCTGCTGGTCAGGTGGGATACCTTAGGGGGAGGAAGGCTCAGTTAGAGGCTCTGTGGAGCATACTACTGGCAGTGTCCCCGGCAGAGGAGTCCCAGCACTACCCCCAGTCTCTCAAAATGGCAAACTGAGGTAGAGATAACAGACGTTCTTCAGATCACATGGAGAAACAAGGGCAAAACAGGTCTGTCTAAAGCCAGCACCAACCCACACAGGACTGAAACTCCCCTGGGCAGAGAGGGATTCCCAGTCCATAGCCAGAGCCCCCACACCCAGTCTCGACTCACCCTCCTTGTCTTGAATTTTGGCTTTGACATTCTCAATGGTGTCACTGGGCTCAACCTCGAGGGTGATGGTTTTGCCCGTGAGGGTCTTCACAAAGATCTGCATGTTTGCGTCTGCTGGAGGAAGGGAGGCAGGAGAGACTGGTGAGCAATGCATGCCTGAGTGGCGCAAGCTCAGGTGCCTACACCCCAGATGCTATCCCTTTGCCTGCACCGAGCCCAACTGGTCCTGCCCCAGTACCTGTCTTCCTTCCACTCCTCCACGCCTGGCCCTACTAAGCTTCTCACACACCCTGGCCTGGAGTCTACACATGTCCTGGAACGAAGGACCACATGTCCTCCACCCTCCTGACCGACCGCATGGGCGCTCTTCAGGAACACAGACTGTGGTTATTCTCCTTAGGCTTAGCAACAGAAGGACTTGTCAGTATCTCCTGATGGAATAAATACCCTTTGGCATCATCTTGCCAGATCCATCTTCCTGAGAACCGTCCCACCCTCTCCCACCACAGCCACGTCCTGATCTCCTCCACAGGTTGCTCCTGCTGCCAGCCTGGATGGGAAGCCATCCCCTACAACACACGTCTTCCTGTCGCAGCCTCTCTCCTCTCTCTAATTCCAAGCTGGGGCACCCAACACTCTTAGCTTCCTTCTCAATTACGCCA